TTTTTTTTATCCATTCATCTATTGAAGGGCATCTAGGCTGGTTCCACAGTCTTGCTATCGTGAATTGAGCTGCTATGAACATCGATGTAGCAGTCCGACTTTGCTTTTTCAAATGTTGGCTTCTTCAGGTGAACAAAGTATCTCTTAAGCTTTTTTCTATTTTCTCTATAAAATTGCTTTTTTTCTTTTTGAATTCCTTTCTTTGTGAGGCTTGTCAGGAGACAATGGGTCATTCGCCCACAAATTTTTGAGGTACCTGCTTCAAGCCAGGGGCATTACTAAACCTTGGATGTGGCACCTTCTTCTTGACTAGGGGCAGGTGTATACTTCTTGTTCCAAAAGATTCAATATAATAGTAGATATTCACAAAAGTATGTTTTCAATACACTGGGAAGAATCCACAGATGTGTGTGTGTGTGTGTGTGTGAAATTCTGACAAGTTAGAGCATAAGGGTAGGCTGTGACATAAGTGGTTTGTTTTCCAACTTGTGTAATTGCAGACCGATTTTTTGCTTAGAATGATGATGATGATGGTAACTTTTCTATTGGTAAAATATCTCCCTGCTACCCTGTTTCCAAACATTCATTCTCTTCATGGAGGCAGCCACCATTACCATTTTCTTTAAAAATTGTGTGTGGGCTGGGGATATCTCAGTGGAAGAATATGTGCTTAGCATTTGTGAGGCCCTTCGTTCAATCCCCAGCACCAAAAATATGTGTGTATATGAATGTGTGTGTGTATGCACACATATATTTAAATGTTTTGGTCCTGGGGATTTAACTTGGGGGCACTCAACCATTGAGCCACATCCCCAGCCATATTTTGTATTTTATTTAGAGATAGGGTCTCACTGAGTTGCTTAGCGCCTCACCATTGCTGAGGCTGGCTTTGAACCCACAGTCCTCCCAAGCCACTGAGATTACAGGTGTGTGCCACTGCACCCAGCTGTATTTAATTTTTTAATATTTATTTTTTAATTGTAATGGACACAATACCTTTGTTTTATTTATTTTATTTTTATATGATGCTGAGGATCAAACCCAGGGCCTCACACATGCTAGACAAGCGCTCTACCGCTGAGCCACAAACCCCAGCCCTGTATTTAATTTTTATTGAGGCAATATATATGTATATAATTTCCATGTAATCATTTTAAGTGTTCATTTCAGCTGCATTAAGTGCATTCACATTGTTGTACAACCATCATAAATATCATCACCAGAACTTTTCTTATCTTATAAAATTAAAATCCCATACCCATTAAATACTAACTCTTAATTTCTCCTCTCTTCCCCCAACCCTCTGGCAACTTCTTTTTTGTGTCTCTATAAATTTAATGATTCTAGGTAACTTACATTATTGTAAGTTTTTACATATGTGTTTGTTGATTATGTGCTTATGCACATAAACAAGGATGTGTGGGAGTGCACTCTTATGCAAACTATAAAATATTGTATGT